ATGTTTTAGTGCTTCTCTTAGGACATCTAAAATAATTTTAATTATATTCTATTTGTGCAATATCTTATCATTAGTCATTCATTCCTCAAAGAGAGCTGCGTCATTTTCACATGTGTAATTGGATGATCAGGAAGTTTTGTTGGGAGTTTATCCCCCTCAAAGGGACTTCCTTAAGACAGCTGAGCCAGAGGCAATAAGTCCACAGGAGATGGTAGAAAACATGAAATATTAAACAAGAGCTTCTAGGTGGAAGGGGTATCAGGTACAAAGACAGTAACACAGGGTCCTCATACAAGCTGCCCCCAAAAGTCAGCAAATGAGGGAGCCACATAGACCCACATTCAGGTTGTACAGCACCCAGTTGAGGCTGAAGGAGAACCACCGCTGTCTTTTGAGGTGGTCTCTGAGGATACAAGATGGCAAAATAACAGCTTAGAGAAAGCAGAGCCAACTCGTAAATCATAAGTCCTTAAAACAAGATTTCATAAGCCTCATGCTAGATTGCCACATCCCCCCAGGGCATGCTGAGCAGCAGCAATGCTGCTGGACTCCTCAATCCTGCAATATCTCTCTCCAGTATTATCTCAGGGGTGGTCCAAGATGTCTGTCAAGGTCCTCCTCCCTGACTACGGGGTCCTGTTAAATCTCTTACAGGGTGGACATAGGCAGAAGGGAACAAATTATTTTGAACTCACAAAAGGACACCAATTCTGATCCAGATACATGGAACGTTGGGCCTTCCCTGAGGTTTGGGCTCTGATAGTAACACCATCAGACATTGAGTTTAGTCAACTCTTCCACTGTCAAAAGGAAGTAGACAGATCTAGTGTGGGTATGCTTAAGGCTTTTAAGCCTGGGTAACCTTACTTGCAAACTATTTTAGATTTGTTATTAGTAATGATAATATTCATAAAACACCTAGAACAATGCCTAATGTGCAAAGTCATCCAACAAGTATTTCATTTCCTTCCTGCTACTCCCAGTTTACAAGTGACCATTCTGTCCATGTCACTATATTTCCTCTTTCAAAAGTATTAGTTAGAAATTGGAATGCATCATTCCCCAGGCGGTAAACTTTAATAACTTTTATACATGATATTGATTTACCATCTAAGGAGGCAATAAAGTAGCGTAGACAAGAATATGAACTGCAACCAAAATACCTGGATTATCCAAAATCTACCTTTGTAAATTTAGACAAGTTGCTTGATGGCTATATGCTAATTTTGCTCTTCTGTAAAGAGCAAATATAGTAGATATAATAATAGTACCTGTCTCACTGGATTAAACTTGTTAATGTTTGTTAAAACATCAAGAACAAAGCCTAAGTGGGTCTGTTATTATCATACTCTTTAGAACTGGAGGCAGCTAGGAGAGAATTGAGTCAGTGTTCAGAGCAGGGGTCAACAGTAAGCAGAGCAAGGATCAAATACGCAAGGAAGTATCCCAGCCCACTCACTCATTCTTTGAACTTGCAGACATCATGTGTCTACTCTGTGTGCTGAGGTTAGCTTGGGGAGTTGATAAGAGATAAATTAAAACATGCCAGCAATATGACTTTAAATAAGTTTATGTCAGTGGGTCTCAGTATTTCCATCTATAAAATTTTTGACCTATGAAATCTAGAGTTCCTTCCCAATCTGAAAATGACTTTGACTCTATGGAGAAAAATAACTTCATGAAGGTCACCTCTATCAGAAATTTTAGTCCCAGTGCTTGAGCCAATGATGCCAGGTCAGTAGCTATCCCAAAGATATCGCTAGGTGGTCTTGATGGCTATCATGAATTGGCTGAACCCCTCTAGAATAAATTTTTGTCATAAACCTCAGATGAAGTTGTTCATTCAATCACAAATTGAATATCCCACAGAGTAGTACACAAAGAATTAATACTTTTGTAACATCGAGCTCTATCTTGCTCTTACTTTTATATGGCCTTGTATGTTATTTGCTTCAACTTAAAAAAAAGATTATATATGTATATATACAGACATATATTAGTCATTTCTTCACTTTATAAATAGAAATACATAATGGAAATATCTCACCTCACTCTTGAATTATAAAAAATTCTGGAGACCTCTCCCTTTGCCTTCTTCATTCTCTGGCCAGCTCATGGTTAGTCAAGAAGTCAGACGTCAGAAATCTATTTTGAGTGGGAGAAAACACGTAGGATGGGGTGTAACCCCAGGTGCTTGCAGTTTGCTGATAGCTACAGCAGAACTTCTTATCAAGAATGCCTCATTAGGTCATAAGTTCTTGAGGGCAGGACTTTGTCCTTGCATCTTTCAGTAAGTTCAACACAGATTAATTGTTCATACATATTTGTTGAATGAAATCAAGCTGAACTGGAACTGTTAAGAAGTTTAGAAAGACTGATGAGACATTGAGCTTGATGTACACCGGCCTAGAGTCTCATGTGCATTATTTCTGGCTTCTAAAAAAGGTATTCATTAAACTTTGTTCTCTGTGACATAGTTGACCATTACTCCTTTGAATCAAACTCTTCTGCTTTGGCTTCTATGAAGCTATGTTCTCCTGGTTTCCTGTCTACCTCCCTGGCAATACTTTTTAATCTCCTTGGGTACTTCTTCCTTTGTACCAGATCTCAGAATGATGGAGAGCCTCACAGCTTGGGTCTCCTCTCTCTGCCTGCTATCCTTAGCTTATCTGACATAGTCCTATATCTTCACATGTCACCAAAATGCTCATGACCCCCAAATGTGTATCCTTAGTCCAAAGTAATGGAACTTTGGACACCTATTTGCTATTTGGATGTCTTAGAGGTATTTCAACAGCAAAACCATTCAAAACAGAATATATAAACTATGCTTTTGTTACCCAAACATGTCCATTCCCCAGTTAGCACTACAGCACCAAATATCATCACTTTCCTCTAACCACCAAATTTATTTAACCTGAAACTCAAGGATCATTTTTGATTCCTCCACTTTCCTTACTGCTCATTTCTAATCTATTGACAAGTCTTTTAAAAAACTTCTTTCTCATTAATCATTGATTTCATTTGTTTCTCTCCATTTCCACTGCCAATACACCAAGGCACTATCCTGTCTTATACTGAGTTTGGCACTAGCCTCCTCAGGGGTCTTCCAACTTTCAGTCTGCTTTCCTTTCAGTTCAATTTCCATTAGGAGGCCAAAGCTGCCTTTTAAAAACAAATAAATTTAACCTAGTCCTTTGCTTAAAACCTTACAAATTATTTAAAATGGGGCTTCCCCTGTGGCGCAGCAGGTTGAGCGCAGCACTGTGAAGCTGTCAGCAGCCTCTGCAGTGCGGGTTCGATTCCCGGCCTGCCAGGGAGATTTCCAAATGGCATGGCAGACCTCTCCTGTCTTGCCTGCTGCTCCCCTCAGCAGTGATTTCAGTCCATCTGCCTGTTCTGCTCCCTACTCTGTCTTTGGTGAATCCTCTTACCCTCTTGCGCCTCTGGCCTGTGTAGGGTAAGGAAAAATGTCAGGCTTTTCTGCCCTCCTGTCATCAGGATAGATGAGGGAACCCAGTGATCCAGAATGCATGCCTGATGGCGGGCACCTGAAGTGGGTACGCCTGGGCTAAGACTGTGCTAATAAGGGCGGCGTCACGGGGACGCCAGTAAAAGCCAAGAAGCCAAGAACGAACAGAAGCCGGGAGAGAAGAAGAGAAGGCCGGAGAGCCCACATAGAGTGAAGACTTGCTGGGGGCTGGGAGGCCTGCCAGCCTCCCAGACCCCCAGCACCCCTGCCTGCTGTGTACCGGGTAAATCCCAATAAAAGACTGCAGAAGCCACTGAGGACTCTGACTCCTCCTTTACCGGGTCTGCTGGATCCGAAAACCTGCTCAGTGGCCCATTCCTGACCCTACACCTGTACCCCAGCTATTATATAAATAAAATAAATCTTAAAAAAATTTTACAACCTTCTATGACTTTTTGTACTTGGGATAAAATCCAAACTCTTTGCCACATTTAAGAAGACCTTGAATGATCTAGCCCTTGCCTATACTAAGCTTATCTTTTTCTCCTCACCCCATACCCTCTGACTGATGGCCTCCTCCTCTTCCTTATTCCTCATTTAAGTCACACTGTTTTGGGAGTCTTCTGCCCTCAAGGGAGCTGGAGTTTTTGGAGAATACCTGTGTAGAGTAAGGTCAAAAGTATCAGGCTTTTCTGCCCTCCCGCCATTAGGATAGATGAGTGAGCCCCTGTGGTCCTGAATGCATGCCTGATGGCGGGCACCTGCAGTGGGTACACCTGGGCTGAGAGACTGAGTTTACAAGAGCAGTGTCGCAGGGACGCCAGCAGAAGCCAAGAATGAAGGGAAGCAGAGAGAAGAAGAGAAGCAGAGAGAACTCCAGAGAGAGCCCAGATAGGAGGGGGAAGACAAAAGAAATTCTTTAGTTCAGCATCATCATAAAGAAAATAAAAGCTTAGAGTAATGGAGTAAAAAGAAGCAAGGAGAAAGCTCCTAAAGTTTCCCTCCCTCTCTCTTTCTGTCCCTTCTTTCCTACTTTCCCTTGTTCCTTCCTCACTCCTTTCTTCTTTTTCTGGCATCTACCCTGTACAGATACTGAATAAATTATTTCAGCTAGTCACCTTGCATAGCTCTATGAGAGAGGGGTTAAAACTTCATTTTACTGGCAAGGAAAAAGAGGCTTAGCAAAGTTAGAGACTCAGCCCAAGATCTCTCAGTTGGGCTTCATTGAGACCCTCCCCGCCCCCCACCCCCACTCCACACCAGTTACCAGGCGCTCTCTGGCATTTATTTTTTTCAATTTTCATGTTTTTGATCAAATCCTATTTGAAGAGAATGTGTTATCACCCACCTTCAACCTGACTGGAATTGCAGAACAGCTTCTTTGGGCAGCAGAGCAGTAGCCCCCCTTCCACTAGAGGTCTCCCCCGAGTGAGGCTGCCACTGGTTGGTGGGCTTTGAGGAAGGGAGGAGGGGTCAGTTTCCATGGTGTGAACGCAACACAACTGTAGCTGACACTGCCTGCCAGCAACCTGTGCTACAGCTTCCAAACAAGACAGTGAGTATTTTTCTATTACCCCTATATTCAGATGTTTGCTGAAGTTGTTACTGGTAATTCATATTTAATAGAATTTAAAGTATTAGTTATTCTTTTTTTAAAAAAATTTATTTATTTATGCATTCAAGAACTGGGGTACAGGCCAGAGGTGTGGGGGATAAGAGGAGTCACCAGAGAGAGTGGGGAACAGAACAGGCAGATTGATTGAAAGACACTGCTGAAGGGAGCAGCAAGTGAGACAGGAGAGGTCTGCTGAGGCATGTGGGTTGCTCCCTGGCCGGCTGGGGGTCAAACTTATGTTGCAGAGGCTCTGGATAGCTTCATAGTGCAGTGCTTGACCCCTTGCACCACCAGGGACATCCCAGTATTGGTTATTCTTTTACATTGAGACACCTGTATGAAAAAAGATAGCAATTTAAGTATAGTAAGTCTAAATTACAGTTTGCTAAATTTTAGTTATCACTGGTAAGCTGGTAAATTGTATATATCTTCTGGAAATATTTTTTTAGAGAAATCCTCTAATTAATTGTATCATTTATTTTAAAAATAGTATTGATATATAATTCATATATCATAAAAGCCATCTACATAATGTACATGACTCAGTGATTTTAATATAATCAAAGTTGTGAAACAATCCCCCTCTACATTCTAATTTTAAAACATTTCGTCACCCCGAAAAGAAATCCTATAGTCATTAGCAGCATCGCCTTATCCCAGTCTTAGGAAAATCAATAATCTGCATTGAATCTGATTTGATTTGTCTCCTCTGATGTTATACATAAATGGAATTATACAATATGTGGTCTTTGTTACTGACTTCTTTCACTCAACTTGTTTTTAAGGTTCATTCCTGTCATAGCATATATAACTATTTTATTCCTTATTGTCAAATAATATTTCAGTGTATTATTTCCACATTTTGATTATAGATTTATCCATTAGTGGACACTTAGGCTGTTTCTACTTTTTGACTCTTATGATTAATGCTGCCATAAACATTAATGTACAAGTTTTTGTGTGAACATATGATTTCACTTCTCTTAGGTATATCCCTAACACTAGAGTTACTGGTCATATGATAACTCTATTTTTAATCTTTTAAAGAACTACCAAACTGCTTTTCAAAGTAGTTGCATCATTTTATATTCCCACAACAGTGTATGATTTTTCCACACCTTCAGCAACTTTTGTTATTGTTTGTCTTTTGACTCTAGTTAGCCCACTGGGTGTGAAGTGGCATCTCATTGTGGTTGTGATCTAACATTACCTCAATGAATAATGATGGTGATCATCTTTTCATGCATTTATTATATATGTGTATATGTACATTTATATACACATACATGTAAACACATTGTGTATATATTTATATCTCTATGTATAAAATATTTATATCTATATATATTTATATCTATACATACAAAAATATACATACACTTTTTTTGAGAAATTTCTATTTATATTCTTTGATCATTCTTACTTGAAATTTTTTATTGTTGACCTATAAGAGTTCTTTATTTGTTCTGGATACAAGATTCTGATGCGATAGATGCTTTGTAAATATTTTCTCCAATTCTGTGATGATTTTGTACTTTATTGAAGGTATTATTTACAGAACAGTAGTTTTCAATTTTGGTGAAGTGCATTTTTATCTAATTTTTTCTTTTGCTGTTTTACTTTCAGTATTCAGTATTGGCTTAACCCAAGGTGATGAAGATTTACTCCCATGTTTTCCTCTATGAGTTTTAGTTTTTAAAGATCTTATATATAGGTCAGTGATCCATTTTAAGTTTTGTAGATGGCATGAGAGAGGTGACAAACGTCATTCTTTTGCTTGTGGCTATAGCATTGTCTCAGTAACATTTAAAAAGACCATTTATTCCACATTGAATTTTCCTGGCATCTTTGTTGAAAATCAATTGCTGTAAATATAAGTGTTTATTTCTATAGATATATAGGTAAAGACTAAAATATAAAGAATCCTATGGAATCACTCACTGGGGGTAAAGGATTATAGTTTCCTATTTGACGTGTCTTCTTCTGCAGTTGTTTTCTGTCATGGAATTGACCAAAATGTCAGATATGACAAAGCTCCACCAAGCTGTGGCTGCAGGGGACTGCAAGTCAGTGAAAAAGATTTTGAAGAAAGGTTTCTGCGACCCAAACTACAAGGACGTGGACTGGAATGACCGGACTCCACTTCATTGGGCTGCAATCAAGGGTGAGGGGGTAACACCAGGAGATCAAGTCACTAGGCAGTCATCTGTGTGGCAGGAGAAAGTGCAGTCTTTGGAACCAGGTGGCACTGGCACTTACTAGCTATAGCTCTTTAAGCCAGTTATTTAACATCCCCGGGCCTTACTTTATCCATCACTCACTGTATTGGGGGTAAATAATGCTGCCTTGGGTTCTTGTGGTTAGGATTCAGCAAGATAATAGGTGTAATGTCTGGTACAGTCTGCTCTCAATTAATACTAGTCCTCTCCTCTCTTGACCTCTAACAAGAATGGGGTGTTATACCTGCAGCAGGACACAGAACACTCCTTTCCCCCTTCCTGAGTCATAGAATTGGAGGAGGATAGTGGCAAAAACACAGTCAATGGGCTTGCTGAGACTGATGGCAACAGAACACCATTGAGGAATATTCAGAAAGTGCTATGGCCAACTTTGCTTTTTAAAAATTTGTTTTGATTCCTGTATGGGGACTGGTTGGTGGGAAGTAAGACCAGCTGCAGAGAAATTAGTTGGGATATTTTGCAGAAATTGAAGTGTGAAGGGATGGCAGCTTTGTGAAAGCACCTTTAAGGGAACGTTTACTACATGCTGGGCACTGTGCTGTGTGAGTTGTGTCTGTGATTTCATTTGTACTTCACAGGAATTTGGTGAGGTAAGTGGTAATATCCTTAATTTATGACTGAGGAAACTGAGCCTCAGATGTTTGTTTCTTGTCTGAGGTGCCATAGTCAGCAAGTGGTATTTATGAATCTACATCTATCTGGCTAGAAAACTATAAAGTCAGCAGGACTTGAAATACTTGTTTTTGAATTCAGCACTAAGACAACTGAAAACTGAGTGGGCCTTACCAGTGCAGACATAACAGGGGTAGTGTGACTTGGGAGAAGAAGCAAAGTTCTACGGTGTCCTGAGGGAATGGACAGGAAGGGGAATATCAATTGAATTGCCAGGGGAGGAGAATGTTCTGGAAGGTGTTTTACAAGGAATATTTGAGAACAAGAATGTTCTACAAGGAATATTCAAGGGCATCTGGCTCTGAGTTGGAGCAATGTTTAGGGTTCAATGGTGGATCAGGGAGTCCCTGGTAAGAAGAGAGAGAAGGGAGAAGGCGAAGTTGCTTGGAAACTGGAGGCGCCCCAATGGCTAGTAATGTCTTCCCCTCCTTTGTAGTATATAGGCTAGCCTCAGGCTGCAGAAACACTTTTATCTTAACCTCATTTTTTTGTCTTATTCCATCTAAGGGCATATGGAGGTCATGCACCTCCTCATAGAATATGGAGCTAGGCCCTGCCTGGTAACTGATGTGGGCTGGACCCCGGCTCATTTTGCAGCAGAGTCAGGCCATCTGAATGTGCTCAGAACTCTCCATGCGCTGCACGCCGCCATTGATGCCCCTGACTTCTTTGGAGACACACCAAAGAGGATTGCACAGATCTACGGGCAGAAAGCCTGTGTGGCATTCCTGGAAAAGTAAGGCTCATATATTTTTATCAATGGAGAAAAAGGAGCCTGTGATCAAGGTTTCTGTTGACACAGCGGTCTCAGGCCAGTGAAGATGAAATAAGGAAATCCAGCCAATTGTGTTTGAATAAACTTTTTTTTTTAACTGAACTGACTAGTTTAGATATATCAAATCTATTGTTTTTAGATTATATAAAATATATTTATTATAATTACATATAGTTTCAATAATACATAATTATTGTAATATTAGTTTATATTATGCAAAAATGACCTCAGGTAAGAGAGACAGGGCATCAAGTTTAAAAATATGACATGGTATAAGATTCACAAGACTTCATTCAGATTTCTGAGATCTTCAAATTAACTATGCCAAATTAAATTTCCTTCCAGGCCATCAGTTTTCTCATATTTAAAAGTGAGGTAGGTAAATTAGATTATCATCCACAAGATCCTTCTATCTTTTAAACTTTCCATTCTTCTATAAATCTCATTTTCAGATACACACTAAAGATAAGCTTTTTAACATTTGCCAATTTTTTCCTGTCAATCAAGCATTCAAATAGACTTAAATATCAATTACATACTTAACTATTATGGCTGAAAGGAATGGAAATAGGTTATTTGTAGAAATAACTCAGGAGAACTATTCTTTTTGTTTGTTTGTTTGTTTTTTACGTGTTTTTTTTTTTTAAGATTTATTTATTTATACAAGCTCTGGGGTACAGGCCAGAGGTGTGGGAGGGTGAGAGAATTCACAAGAGACAGAGCGGGGAGCAGAACAGGTAGAAGGACCAAAGTACACTGCTGAGGGGAGCAGCGGGCAAGGCAGGAGAGGTCTGCCATGCCATGGCCTGCCGGCTATTGAACCAGTGCTACAGAGGCTGCAGACAGCTTCACAGAGCTGTGCTCAACCCACTGCACCACCAGGGAGGCCCAGGAGAACTATTTTTAGAAGTAGTGTCATTTATTGCAAACATTCAAAATCACAGTTGAGATGATTTGAGAAATTAAAAGGGAAAACCCTGAATCCTGACTTGAACTTCTTTCTTCTTCCCAATCCTGTCATTATCCCCTACATTTCATGCTCTCCCTTCATTGTAGACTTTCGCATCAGCAGACATTGTTCTTTGAACTTTTAAAAACTCTTTTAGACCACTGTGTGACATTCCTTCCTTTGTTCATTTTGCCTGTTCCTGCTTGGTCACAGGTATTAGAGGATACTGAGACATCTCCTTATTCCACATCTTCTTCCCATTCCAATCTATCACTTGCCTGAAAATTACATTGCTTCTTCTACTCTCTTCTACTGTTCATAACTTTCCAACACTTTGTCCTTCTATAGCTATAACATGGGATTCATAATCTTGAATCAGTCCAGTCTTCTCCATGACTGTGCTTGGGCTACTAGAGAAAGTTCCACTAATATGTACAAGGGTGATACCAGAATTTCTAGGATTTCTACCTTCAACCGAGCCTTCACAACAGCCTATCTCTACCTATCCCACTCTCTCTGTAACAATTTCCAGTCCCCATCATACCTTATCATGTCCCTCAGAGATCATGATTCCTATTTCATCACCTACATATGACCTGTCTGTTCAATCTTGCCTTTTTGTCCATCATTCTGTGAAGCGATTATCCTTCCACATAGACCCTTGATCCAATCCTTCATTTCCTACAAGACCATTCCTTTACTCTTTATTGCATCTCTCACTCTTTCTTCTGAATTATTAGTTTTTTTTTTTCTAGTTCTTCTAGTCACTCCTCTTTGGCCTATGAACACATTAAATAAATTATATTAAACAAACAAGCAAATAGTTAGAGGCCTTTCTAATATCTGCTGTCTTCTTCCTTATTATTTGTAAGATATTTGGAAGTTATTCTGTGGTATTATCTCTACTCCTCACGTATTCTTCAAAGCCTACCTCCATAATTGGATCAATTCAGTTCTCATATGCAAGGAGATAGATACTTGTTGCTAAATCAATGATCTCTTCTCAACTCATGTCTTACTGGCAACTCTTCTTTCTTGCTTTATCCAATGCTACTCTATTCCAGTTCTCCAATGCTACTCTATTCCAGTTCTCTTTATACCTATCTGACCATTTCTCATCATAATCTTTTCTGAGCTCCTGTTTCCTGTTTCTGCATGCCTTTTAGATGCTGAAACTCCTCAGGGTCCTGTCCTTGGTTTTCATCTATTGACTTTCTCTGAGTAATCTCAGACCCTTCCTATTTAAGTAGTGGGTAGAGATATATGATTTATCAGCCCAGCATAACTGAAGTGAAGAAGGAGTAGTTTCCCCAAATAGTGGACTTTGTTTTTAACCAGGAAAGTGGGTGGTAGTGCTGAGCAGACAGAAACAGAAAAGGTCATCCACATCATGTGTAAGTCATTTTTGCTTATCATCGTCTCCCACAAGAAACTTCCCTTCTGGCAGTCACAGGGTTTAGAAAAAAAGAAATGCTGGGCTATGGGAAATTAACCTGAATCTTGAAAGACAGCTAAGACATGGCTAATGGAGGAGTGGAAAAGATTCTTAATGTGGAGGGAAGATGTCAAGTTAGAAATATCTATGTGATTTTTAAAAAAAAATCATCTTAAAACCTTGAATAATTTCAAAAAACATTGAGAGGAAAAGAAATAACTGTGACTAATTACTAAATGATATTAATAGTTCCTTAACAAATGAAATGAATAGAAAAATTATAATTTTATAACATTTGTGTTTAGAAAACATTAAATGTATAGAATATACATAATTTTTCCTCCAAATAAAATATCTATTATTGATAAAAGTTTTTAAAATCATTTAAATAGATGTTTAGCAATGTCTAGTTGTGACTGAAATTTGTAATCAGCAAGCTGGAGACCCAAATTTACATTTTCTTTTTCAAGAGTTATTTATTTATTTATTTGTACAAGAACCGGGGTACAGACCACATGCGCAGGAGGGTGAGAGGATTCACCAGAGACAGAGCGGGGAACAGAACAGGCAGACTGACGAAATACACTGCCAAGGGAGCAGCAGGCAAGACAAGAGAGGTCTGCCATGCTAGCCGGCCAGGATGGAACTGGTGCTGCAGAGGCTGTGGAGAGCCTCATAGCGCTGTGCTCAACTGCCTGAGCCACCAGGGAAGGCCCCAAATTTGCATTTCCTTAATGACTAATGTTGGTGAACACCATTTCATATGTTTATCTGCCATTCTTGTATCTTCTTTGTTGAAGTATTTGTTCAAATATTTTTCTCATTAAAAAAAAGAAAAAAAAGAAAAGAAAAAGAAATATCCATGTGAGGGGGTAGGGATATTAGTCCAAGAATGAATGACCTAGATAAGCATTTACATTAGAAAGAAGTGGAGGGCCTCCCTGATGGCACAGGGGTTAAAGACATAGTGCTATCAAGCTCAAATTTGACCCCCAGCCCGCTAGGGAGCAACCCATATTGTGCAGCAGGCCTCTCCTGCCTTGCCTGCTGCTCCCCTTAGCAAGGTATTTCAGTAGATCTGCCAGTTCTGCTTCCCACTTTTTCTGGTGAATCCTCCCACATCCTGCCTCCCTGCACCTCTAGCTTACACCCCAGTTCTTGCATGCATGCATAAATAAATATTTTTTTAAAAAAAGAAAAAGAGGGCCTCCCCTGGTGGCACAGCAGTTGAGCCCTGGGCTGCGAGGCTGCCCGCAGCCTCTGCAGAGCTGGTTCGATCCCCAGCTGCTGGCGAGGGTCCCACATAGCGTGCAGACCTCTCCTGCCACTCCCGCTGCTCCCCTCAGCAGTGTATTTCATCAGTCTGCCTGTTCTCTGCTCTGGCTCTGGTGAATTCTCTCACCCTCCTGCGCTTCTGACTGTACCCAATGCTTGTATAAATAAATAAATCTTTAAAAAAGAAAAAAGAAAAAGAAAGAAGTGGAGAATAAGTTTGGATGGGTGGGTGGATGACTATAGTGAACTGGGCAAGCAGATGAGCTTGATATCAGGGACTTAGCAAGATGAAATTATTGCTCCAGCAATATACCTCCCGTAGTGAAAGGGCTGGCAATGGTGCTGTGCATGTAGGACTAGAGGCACTTAGACTAGAGACAAGGAGATCACCTATGGAATTTCTTAATGATTCATGTTGCAAGTAGGTGAGCCCCTGCGCTAGGCTGAAAAGAGAAAAGATACAGAAAAAAATTCAAAAGAAACCTGAACAGTATTTGTCAATTTTCTGAATGTTCCAGGGATCTGATGGAACAATTCAAATTTTAATTCAGCCTCTCAAAGCAGAAAACCTCTCATTCAACAAATATTGTTGAGCCATACTATGGGCATGAATTAAAATAGATGCTAAAAAATGATTTAAAAGGAAATCAGATACAATGCTGGACATCAAGCAGTTCCCTGTTTAAGAAAGGAAGTATTTTATGTAAATCACACTAATACAAGATTGAAAGTGATAAGGGTCAAAAGAGCAGGGCAGAGGAGGGACACTGAATACTGACAGGGACACTGAACGTGCTCTGAATATTAAGAGGTCAATTTTAGTTTGTTGAGAGAATGGAGGCTGCAGGATAAGCAGGTTGTTCATCCTCTGAATTGACTGCTTTTTTTGATGCTTTGCACTTAAAATACTGTTTGCCCTTCCTGACCATCATCTGTCCTCTCAAATTCCATTTATCCTGACCCTGGCTCATATTTTATTTCTGGGAGTAGCTTTCATCAATGTCTTTAAGTATGTAACACATGCACCTTTGACCCTGTATAATTTTCTGTAAACATGCACGCTTCCTAGTGTCCATGTGTGTATGATGGTATTTACCTATCAACCTACCTCTCTATCATCGATACCTATTCATTACATAAATGCATTGATACACTCACATAACTATGTGCAACTATAATTTGTTTCCTTTATGTTTCTGTACTATTTAATGTCATACAATGAACAGATACTGCTTTTATAATTAGGAAAAATGCAATCAAAAATAAAGGAAGAAAAGCAGCTTCCCAGTAATACAATTGCTGCTCGCTAAATGGGAGCAATTTAAGAATTAGCAGTGCCTTATTCAAACTGTGAGCCTGTTAATAGAATCATATTGACATCTCACTCTAGGTAGACCATGTTTCTGAAATTAGTTGCTATAGTGTATAAGACCTCCCTAAACATACACCTGGAAACACATGGACTTGGCCTCCTTCTCTCTCCACTAGCTGAAATGCCCTCACTGTGTGTAGAGGGCAGGAAGAGAGCCCAGGCTGCTCTCCTGCCTGGGTGCTGAGGGCTGCTCTCTCTCCTGCTTAGGGCAGAGCCAGAGTGCAGGGATCATCGACTCACTGCCCAGAAGAAGGGGCTGCTGCTGGATCAGCAGGATGAAGACTGGGATACCAAGAAAAGGGAGCTGGAGCTGTCTCTTCCTTCTTCGAATCAAAGTTCTAATAAGAAAAAGAACAAGAAAAGTCGAGGCCCCACCAGGTTTAGTAATACCAAGGAGAGAAGAAAGTGAACTGGTTGGAGCTGGAGACCTTGGGACCTGTGATTCCAGGAGGACTGGTTTTGGCACGAGAGCAGAGGTGGTCAGGGAATGCTGTTTTGAGATCTCTTTACTCATAGACCATTACCCAGGCGCTTCCAGTGGCAGCTCATGACCTGTCTTTTGCTCTGGAAGTATTGCCTAGATGCCCTGCAGGCCCTGCTGTTGCCTCCCTCTGGTAGCTGCTGTCCACAGAATTTATCAGGAGACACAAATGTCAATGGCCTGCATTTTGACCTCAGTGATGAGCACTGTCACCAGCTCCTGACCCTATAAATGCAATGATAGACCAAGAAAAACGGAAAACAAATGCTATCTCGTAGTTTCCAGTTAGTTTTTCCTTTGTGGGGTAAAAAGTCTCAAGCTTAACATGACCATTTTGTCAATGATCACTTCTGCATAAGAGGAAGCATTTGGGCAATAGACCATAGAGGGAGAAATAACTGGAAACCCTAATTATCTGTTAATTTCATCCCTCATAACTAATGAGAGAGCATAAAATAAAGGAGCATGTGATTACAGCTCAAACTTTTCACCTATTTGTTTTAGGAAATCTAAAGTCAAATCAGCTCTTTCCAATGAAAATATTGCAAATCAATTGAGAGGTGTTGTAAATGTAAATTATATTGGATTTTTAAAGATGGCATAAAATATGTCAAAAGGGCATTAATATTTAATGTTGATTACCTGCTAAAATAATAATATTTTGGATATTGGGTTAAATAAAAAATTATTAACATGAATTTTCCTCTTTCATTTTTCAAGAAATGTAGTTACTAGAATGTTTATAATTACATATTTGACTAGCTTGCTTTTTTCTCCTTGTCACAAAGCATTGCAATAGAAACCAAAAAATATTTAGAGCTCTCAGTAGGTAGATCTCCTGGTATACTCTGTCTACTCCACATTCTAGGGTTACTAATTTTTCTGCCTAAATCAATATCTTTAGGCACCTAACATCTTTATTACACACTCTACTTCAAGTAATGCTTATATTAATACGGGCCATGTTTAAATTGAATGTTTGAACATCTTATAGGAATTAGAGTAGTTTTAGAGGATATTTTGCAGTGTTTATCCACCCCAAGCATCAATCCTTTTTCTTTTATGGGTGTGGTGCTTGCTTGCCAAGTTTGTACTTCTCCTCAACCAGTATGGACATTGCAAGATACTTGACACCAGTTGGGTCAATGTAATTCTTCTGCAAACCTGAAGTCTCATGAGAGGATGAATCAGTAGCATGTAATATCAGAACTATGGAGTAGCAAGTGCTATGGTATGAATGAGAAAGTACAGTGAGGCGTTCTAAAGAGAAAGAGGAGGCTGAGGCAAAAGAAAGAAAGAAAGAAAGAAAGAAAGAAAGAAAGAAAGAAAGAAAGAAAGAAAGAAAGAAAGAAAGAAAGAAAGAAAGAAAGAAAGAAAGAAAGAAAGAAAGAAAAAGAAAAGGAAGGAAGGAAGGAAGGAAGGAAGGAAGGAAGGAAGGAAGAAGGAAGGAAGGAAGGAAGGAAGGAAGGAAGGAAGGAAGGAAGGAAGGAAGGAAGGAAGGAAAGAAAAAGAAAGAAGAAAGAAAGAAAGAAAGAAAAGAAAGAAAGAAAGAAAGAAAGAAAGAAAGAAAGAAAGAAAGAAAGAAAGAAAGAAAGAAAGAAAGAAAGAAAGAAAGAGATAGGACAACTTCTAATTTCCAATTCTGGTTTCTTATTCAGAAATCTATGAAATACTACTTTCAAAATAATATTTCCTCTTTTGCTTATGTTTTCCCCTTGCAAGAAGTCTTTTTTTTTTTTTTTTTTTTTAAGATTTATTTATTTATTTATACAAGCACTGGGTACAGTCAGAAGCGCGGGAGGGTGAGAGAATTCACCAGAGCCAGAGCGGGGAGCAGAGCAGGCAGAGGGACCAAGCTACACTGCTGGGGGGAGCAGCAGGCGGCAGGAGAGGTCTGCATGCCATGTGGGACCCTCCTCCTGTGGCCAGGGATTGAACTGGCGCTGCAGAGGCTGTGGGCAGCTACGCAGCCCAGCGCTCAACCGCTGTGCCACCAGGGAGGCCTGCAAAAAGTCTTTTTCAACAAGTATTTGACAATCATGGGTTTTTGAGTCAAGTCGGCTCTGGTTTGTATCTTCCTCTGTAAGGTAGGCAAAATGATCCTTACATGCTGGGGTTGCTGTGAGGATGATATGAGATGATGTATATAAAATATTGGCATTAGCATACCATAGCTGGTCAATGTAACACCTACTGTATTATTACAGAAATGAGCCTAGTTTTTCTCTGTGAACCCAAAGTGGTCTAGGTATAATGCCTTTTATAGATCAAGTGAGGGTCTCCACTGTCCAGTTGGTCAGTATCCCCTGTCTAGTTCCACAGCATGGATAATTGCCTGTCTTCTACTGACCAGAGAGATCCGTACCAAACTGCGATTAGTGAAGTGTGCTTGGAGTCCATTACCATATCCACAACCTTAGGGTTTCCGCATCCTCCTTCAGCTGTTTCATACATAATCTCATCCAGGCTTTAGGAGAAGGAATATATCTCCACTCCCACAAGTTTTGTATAGTAAATGACTACATAATAGAAACTAAAATGTTTCTTTGTATGAAGAATGTGTTGTAATGTAGACTCTGTATTAAGAAACTTATGGGGGGCCTCCCCAGTGGCGCAGCGGTTGAGCGCTGGGTTGCGAAGCTGCCCGCAGCCTCTGCAGCGCTGGTTCGATCCCCGGCTGCTCCTCGGCCACCAGAGGAGGGTCCCACATGGCGCGCAGACCTCTCCTGTCGCCCGCTGCTTCCCTCAGCAGTGTACTTCGGTCCTTCTGCCTGCTCTGCTCCCCGCTCTGGCTCTGGTGAATTCTCTCACCCTCCCGTGCTTCTGACGGTACCCAGTGCTTATATTAATAAATAAAAATAAATCTTTAAAAAAACAAAAAGAAAAGAAACTTATGGGAATTGTAGTTCATTGCATGACACACCTGCAAGGCCAGTATCATTATCCCTGACTGACATCATGAACTTCTGAGTTCAAAGGTCAACTTCTGAGCTGTAGAGTGACTTGCCCTGGGCTTCTGACTGATGTGTGTACAGTCTTGAAAGTCTGCCTGGACTGGGTGGTGCTCAGCCCTTCAGACAATGATGCCTTGGATAGGTTGCTTAGTTCTCTAGTTCTCTGTCTGTGAACTGGGGAGAATGCCAGGTGGCTAGGCCATAGGACTGTGGTGAGGACTAAATGAGATAATGTATGTCAAACATTTAGTACAATGCCCTCAACAATCAGGGTCATTTAAATATCAATTGTTGTAGTGTTTATTATTTTCATATTCTTCAGTATGTAACAGCCTTCCAGATGTTAACGAAGAAAAATGAATGACTTGCTCACAAGGACTAGCACGGTTCCAGAGTGAGAGTATGAAGACAGCATTCCCACTGAAAGCCATCACATCCCTGAATAAAGGTGTCCACCTATTTTCTTGCCCCTGAGCTTGAACTTTCAATCCAGCCTTATGGCTGAGGTCATTTCATGGCAACATGGGCTCCCGCCTCCCAAGGAGCCTGGATGGACTTCCCAGGCCTGGCTTCACTCTGGGGCAATACCACGTTCATTTCAAAGGTCTATGTGCGACTTATGGTAGCTTGAGGGTCTGATATTTGGGCTATGTGTTTACTTCTCCCATCCTTATCCCTAAGGAGAAATTAGATATTTATTTTATTGTACAAACATTAGGGACATGTCATGTTATGGACAGGTCAGTGGTAAAGGGGGAAGATCATTCTAGGACTGATTTATCAGAGAATTGAGTAAATGTGGGCATTGATTCTGGGACAGGATCCTTTACTGTAAAGTAAGTGGTTAGAATTTTGATCTCTATGATCAGATCTAATTATACATGAAAGAGTGAGACCCTTAGACCTTGATTGGCTAAAAAACCAGAATAAAACAGAATGCTGTCCCTGGGGAATTCACACCAGGCATCTGATGCAGAAATTCAAATTTAGATGCTCACATTTATTAGAACTATATGTTTTGGACACACACAAATCCTTGAACTCACTAAGGAAATGACAAGCAATAACTTTTTCTTTTTTTTTTTTTTTGCCACTGGAAAGATCTAAAACACACAAACTCTTCCCTTTTCCCCGTCTTTCTTTTTGTCATTCATCAAATATTTATAGTCTTTTATTTTGTGCCGAACACTATGCTTAGTTCTGAGAATCAAAAGATGAATAAGGTCAGAGTATGTTATATGTTCCTGAGAGTATTTTACTCCATTTTGAATCCCTGTTGCCCAAAAGCATAATTATAAATGTTTGCCGAGAAAAAATGAAGCAAGTCACCATTAAAATACTGGCATGGGCCTCCCCAGTAGCGCAGCGGTTGAGCGCTGGGTTGCGAAGCTGCCCGCAGCCTCTGCAGCGCCGGTTTGATCCCCGGCTGCTCCCCGGCCACCAGAGGAGGGTCCCACATGGCGCCCAGACCTCTCCTGCTGCCCGCTGCTCCCCTCAGCAGTGTACTTTGGTCCTTCTGCCTGTTCTGCTCCCTGCTCTGGCTCTGGTGAATTCTCTCACCCTCCCGCGCTTCTGACTGTACCCAGTGCTTGTATAAATAATAAATAAATAAATAAATCTTTTAAATAATAAATAAATAAAAATAAAATACTGGCAAATGAAGTTGTCTTGGTTTTATAGATGAAAATGGAAGTTGTTATGGAGTGAACTGTGCACCCTCAAAATTCATGTGTTAAAGTCCTAACCCCAGCACCTCAGAATGTGATCTTATTTGCAAATAGGATTGTTACAGATATAATTGACTTAGATAAGGTCACCTGGGGTAAAGAGGGCCTCTAATCCATTACCACTGGTGTCCTTCTATAAAGAGACACACTCAGGGAAGACAATAAGAGAGATGGGTGGTGGGGGGTGAGGGGATGTAGTTGGTGACAATCATCTCTTCTGAGCTAAAGAAGGAGGGAGAGAACAGAT